GTGTATTCATTGCTTGCAGTAACGCATTGCTTTTGCTTGCCCATTTAAATGTAATGTTAAGCTTCGGTCGTGCGTTCGACTTTGAATAATGGGATGCGTTTTTTAGGTATTAATAAGACGTTGAACAGGTGGCGTTTGTTTTGTATGATGTTTCCGGCTTTGCAACCGTAATAAAGACTATACTAACTTACTATTTAGAAAAATAAAAATATGTAGGTCATTTTAAATAGGTATGTCGTACTTAATGAATGAGCGTTGTTAGATAAATAGATTCTCAATCTATGTTTGTCTTGAATAAACGAAAGGGTAGGCAATGCTTTTTTGCCTATGTGTAATGCACGCTACTGTCCTAATTGTTCTTAAATTTGCATACCATAGAAAGGCGAATTTGCTGATAGGCTGATAATTGATATATTAATTATTCTAAGATCAAATAAATAAAAATCTGTATAGAAACAAGAAAAATAAATTTAATAAACATGAAGTGTAATAAACATTATTTAAAAAATACAATTTACAATACAACTTCATTCGTAAATTTTAGAGTAGTGGTCGAGTAGTCAGATGCATTATAATCATTGTCGAGAAATAATAAGAGACTCGACATTATTTTCTAACATCTTATGAACTTCCCACATTATTTCTTTAATCACATTATTTCATTTCTCACAATCCACTGTCTTTGTCTCCTCTTGAAAGTGGTGTTATGCCTTACTAATTCCCAGTGCTGAGAAGACCTTATATATTTTCTTTTGAAGCGATTTCGTCGACAATAAATTTCGTACAAAGAGATTTATTGAATTTTACATTACATTTATTTTCGAAGAAGACTAATTTTATTAAATAGAGGCAGTCCATTATCAACAACTTAATCACAAATCCGAAACGTTAAAAAAATCGTAAAAGAAATTTTGGTTAGGCCACTCTGTAAATGTCGAAGTTAACATGTAAGAGACAAAAACTTTTCAAAAAACAATTCTACTTTGCATCAAGGAAAAAATCAACAGTTTATTGTTTACTAGTTATTATTTTTTGCTCTGCTTTTCTCCATTTTTTTATTTTGTTTTATACACCTTTGAAGCAAATCTCCTTCTACTCCTTTCAGGTAATATCAATATCCGGACAGACTTTAATAATAATGGCTCAAAAATTTCATTTTTTTTTTATGTCCCTAAAAATGTTACATTATGAAGTGTGAGGAATTCAGAAAAAAAAATTCTGACAAATTTTGAATGCGTTGTATTGAGATCTTATATATTTTTGATGATATATCTGCACATTACAGGTATGTTCAGTTCCTGTATAATCGTTTTTTTATTATTACTATACCGGGTTTTTCAAATTTGACTCTCACCATTAGGATCTCGGGAACGCTAAGAGATACAGTTGCGCATCGGTGAGTTCAATAATATTCCGTTTAGAAGTTCAAGTTACTTTTGTTACTTTCGGAAATATGGCGCATAATCTGGAACTTCCTGTTTTCGTTTTTACTTTTTTATATTTTTGTAAAACATTTCCGATGTCTTGATACTGTTTCTATCGTTTTTATAATAAAGTTTTACCACATTTCTCTTTGCTTCATTGCCAAAAAATAAAGTTGATGATGATTTGAGAAAAAAGAAACGTAGTAAGGTATTTTTGACCTGTCCATAAGCCTAAAAAACTTCCAATGAGAATGTATTTATATTACTATTACGGATTTTAAGTTTTAGTCTGGCAAATAAAACGGTTTGATTAATTGATTGATGAAACAAACTCTCGATTAAAAATATTTACAGGATCGCAGTGTTGCCGTTTGTAGCGAAAAGTAGCTGTCACTTTCTGATCATTTTTGTAAAACATTTCGTTATAGCTATCTTTAGCGGTTTTCGAGATATTAATGTTTTTTTTTGTATTTTTTCTTCGGCCCAAACAGTCCACAATTCTCTCTTATCCCTTATCTTACACAAAATTGTCAAAAGGTAATCACAATTTTTGAAAGCTATTCAGCAAAACGGTTTCCGCTTATTGGCGCCAAAACCGTTTTTCCCGCTCGTTCATATAAATTCAACAGTCGCGGGATAACATAGTGCCGCCATTATTTATTCATTTATTAACAAATTGTGTGCGGCTACCAGAGAGACCGGCGAAAGAAACGACACAGACCGGTCGACCTTGACTTCAACGAGAGATCAACCATCCGAATAAATAATTGAAACGCACATAACTACTACAAACAGAGCCACATTCTCTTCTCTCACCTCCTCGATTTTACCGGACGAACCGCTATCGTTCGAGACGTCAATTTGCCGCCAATTTAATCTAGTCAACCTCGATCTCGGCCTATCCGAAAGGGTAAGCTAGAATGGCTTCTACAAAATTCTAATCAGTCACCGGAAAGTATTTTAATGAATAAATTACTAGAAATGAAATCTATTCCTAAGAGTACTTGAATTTATCGATTCTTCAATTTTTGACCAAAAATAGTCTTATAATAAACTAGAACGTACTTGCTGAGATTCATTAACAATTGTCTTTCGAAGATAAACTAACCAAAACTTCTAAGTTTATAACAAGCGCATGATTTGTGAAAATTTTTTCGAAGAAGAAAAAGCTACTATTTGACCCGGAAACGGAGGTTCTAAGTTAATATCTGCAGGTTTAAGGTGTTTTTCGGTACAATTTCATCGATATTGACAAGGACGTATAATCTGCGCAAGTCTCACAATTGTTGTGATTTTTGATTCATGAACTTTGAACTTTGGTATGTCATCAATATTGGTTTCCATTCAAATAACCGCATCGAAATTTTATTGGCATAATTTAAATTACCAATGAAAACAACTCGAAAAACAATATATTTCGAAATTAAGAAACAAATAATTTAAAAAAATATACGACCCTGCATCTCCGCCATTGGAAATTTGGGAAAATACCTAAAAGCCTAAAAATGTTTAAACTGCTGTACCCAATTTCAAATTCGTTTTGTGCCTTATTTTTAAAATAAAAGATAGTTAGATAGTTTTTCACTTTTAACACGTTGTATCCCTTTAACGAAACGACCTAGACAAAAACTTTATAAGACACACCCCATCCCCTCCTAAAATTCACCAAGAAGTTTCATTTTTGGTAACCATTTGTAAATCAACACATGTCAATTGTCAATGCAGAATGGACTCCAGCACCATTTTCATATCAACTGACCTACTTCAATTGTATTCCTTTTTTTTCTCTCGTTTTCCAAAATTTTGATTCTTCACTCAAAAGAGCAGCGAGTACTAAGAGATAAAAGCTATCACTTTTGTTTAATTTCAGTACAGAAAGTTAACCAATCAAAATGCAGGACATTTAACAGACACAGAGAAATTCCTCCAAATTTACACATTTCCTGCTGTACAATTCGAATGATTCTGGACATCTGGATCCCCAATTTCGAGGTCCTCATCCGACATCGTAATGATTAAAATTCAAATTCTATTCAAACCAAAACATTTACCGTAAATACAGTTTTATTTCTATTGCCTACTTATGTTACCCAAAATCAGTAGAATTCCGGACTACCAAAACATGCCATAAGTTCAATACGATTTCAGGGATTATTTTTTCGAAAATAACATGTTTTGTTAAACATTTGCTATTAAAACCGACCTTAAAGCATTAACTCACAATTCCAGAACATTAACAATAATTAACAAACATTTATTAGAAACAGATTTAATTTGATTTTAAAATTGTTAAGAGTTTTGTTGGTTCTTTTTTTCAGTAGGCAGGAGATTAAAGGGGCTTGTAAGGGAAGGACTGCGAAGAAAGTGCATTCTTAAAGGGATATATATGACTCATTATTCTGTCTCAAGCCCAGCATACTCCTGAGGTCCTTTTTTTGGATTTTGAAGATTCCGCTGTGGAGTGAGACCCCCAGAAGCGACCTGATCCCAAATAAGTTGCATTTTTGACGAAACATTGTTTTCCAATGTACGAAATACCGAAAGCAAATCCTCACAAATCAGCAGTTGACAGTTTTTGTTGAAAATCTAAGAGAAATTAGTGTACAAATTTGCTCAGCATCCCCTTAGTTATAACGTTCAACACTGGAACCAGACATTATGATCAAATGAATCCAAGATAAATAAATTGTATTCAGACGGGAAGCGTTTTATTTGGCATCCACCAAATAAAGAATATGACACGGTGAAATTTGGAGGTGGTGGTCATGGTCTGGGGATGTTCTCCTGGAATGGTATTGATCCATTTTACATAATAACATGCATAACAACGACATGCAACCACATGCACAAGTAAATTTATCAGTACTTTAGAAATTCCAGTGATCCAATGATCGCAAGCATTCTGCTAAGAGGACAATTGCCTGCCTACCGGATAATTATATAGATGTTTTGCGGTGACCTTAATCCAAAAGAAAACCTGTGAACGATCGTTCAAGAACATTTCAAAATTTCCACCAGAGGGAATGGATACCCAACTAAATACTAGATATTATATCGAGACAAAGTCTTGTATATTGTTGCTGACTAAAAATACGTTGCCTATTACTTTTCCGCTTAAAAATGCAGTTTTTTAAAAATACATTAGCGAATAAACAATGGTATAATAATCGAAATATCTATCGTTTCCAAATAGTTTGCCGTCACTGTATATAGAAAAGAGCGTCAATATTCTCTGTCGCCTGTCTGTTGCGGGTAAATAAAACTTTACCAGCACTCCATACTCCACCGCGTGTAAAAAAAAGAAAAGTCGTTAAGCAACGGCGTGTGACTGATCGAAAACAAAAACTGGTATAACGTATCCTCCCATAATCTGGCGTTGCAAACATCGTCCTCTATGGGTCAACGGATCCGTACAAGGACGTGGGTGAATTTCTAGGAACGCTTGGCAAAATCAAAGATATTATCTAACGCGCTGCGAGTTTAATACACCCGGACGGTCCGATTGTTATTGGAATCCGGTTTTATCTTTTCTTTACCGCAGGGCTTTATCTTCCGGGGTATTTTGCAGAGAGTCACCTGATTCGAAGAAGATCCGTCCTCGTAACCCTCGTCGTCGCGACGATGGTCCGGACCGCTGCACCAGTGACTCTTGTAATCGTTCAATAAATCGCTGACGTATTGCCACACACCTTCCGCGATGGCGCCCGCGTCGCTTTCGACCAAATCCTGATGATGCAAATCCGAAACGTGACGCACCATCGTCGATTGTCGCGCACTATACGAGGTTATCAAGATTTATTTGTAAAACGGGTTTTTACAGTTTTTGTTAAAAGGATTTTTTCGTCCCGAAAGGTCCAATTTTGCTAGCATAATAACTGAAATACTTGTTAACACCACGAAACACCAAAATTTTTAATCCTACGCTCCAAACAATCCACATTGAAACAAACACAGAATTATCTAATAAAAAAGATTCTATTCGGGATGTTGAGTATAAGATGATGTACATTGGGATATTGGAAACTGTATGAGATACAAGATCTTTTAAAATTTTCCTTATTATAGGAGTTGAAATGTTCAAATTTTCAGGACATGAGTATAAGTATACGGCGATACTAAAAATGGCGTCAAAAAATTTAAAAACCGAGTATGGTCATATTCAAGTTCTAAATTTATAAAAATCCTGTTTAAAATTGCTATTCAATAACGTGTAAACACGTTTATGTTTGGTCCCGAATAAATAACAAAAATTAGATTTCAGATATTGCTATTCAATTTTTAAACAAATTTTAATCATGAGTGGACAAAAAAGGAGTCAATAAAATTGGAGAAAAAGGATCGAGAAAAGAAGTCAGTCAAATTTTTATCCATACCTTCAAAACAGAACCTTTGTAAAACAGAATTTTACAATAAAATTAGAGTAAGTGTTCCAACAACCTTTTCAACACTGCTTCACAGGACTGCGGAGTGATACTGTTAACAGCTTCTCTTAATTTTACAAAGTTTTCATAAAACCTATTGTATACTTGATTTTTGAGGTGACCTCATATAAAGAAATCAAGGGGTGTTTCGTCTGGGGACTTCGCAGGTCATCTAACTGGCCCGAGATTGCCTATCCACCTGTTGGAAAGTTCTGCATTTAAGAAGCTCGTAATAATCTGGCACCTAGTAAAAGGTTCATAACATCTTGTCACATTTATTAGTACAAGGTTTAAATATCTCTCAGAAATTAAGTTATCATCGAAAAAATAAGACCCAATATTATGGGTACCCAAAATACCAAACCAAAAGGATTTACATCGGAAGCCATGGATTTACATCGGCCCAAAATACGAGTTCTTGCGAGTCCACAATTAGTATCACTCATCCTACCAAAGTGTTTTTAAGAAAAAGTTTGGTTTCTCATTTTTCTGAGTAACCAACAGTATCGCCCTCCTGAAGAGACCTGTTCCATTTTATCTTAGCAAAACTCCCGTAGGTGACAAAGTCTTTCAGATGCCTAAACATAGCTCTACCCGGTTGACGTCTTTCCGCATATTTATTTAAATACATTTCTTCGGCTTTTGCTTCGCTTCTACAGCAGTGAATAAAATACTTCAACATATCATAGTTATATACTAATTGACAAAAAAATCATTTTAAAATTCATATATTATATTAACTTCACACAATTGACACTGACTGAAATCTTATTTTTGTTATATTTCCGAATTTAACTTGATCAAATATAAATGACATTTTTAAAAGCAAAAAGAAAAGCAAAAGTTGACCCTGTATCTACGTAAGGGTATGTATTTAAAATAAAAAAAAGCTAGACTATTTTTTGGCATATACATACGCTACTTTGCGTCCATTTAAGCGACGCTACATCCCTTACAGTTTCCAATATCTCCATGTACATCATTTTATACTGGACACTCTGTATAGATATGTCCACCTTGTGCCAAATAAAGCGATCCACTATACGATCTGGAAACCCATAGGAGATACGAAAAAAAAACTTAGTACAAAAGTTCCTTGAACTCTCCTGAAGATTTAAATTATAATTTTGTTATTGGCATAATCTTTGTTATTTAAAATGGAACACCCTGTATATTTCGACATTTGTTTAATCTTTGGTTAAAGTAAAGGTCACTTTCTTAATAAATTCCTATTCTAATTTTGCATTTAGGCAGAAATTGAGGTTATGTGTTTTTTTTTAATATATTTTGATTGCTCCAAATAAAATTGTGTTGTGGCGCTACTGATGCAGGTATTGAAAGGAAAATTTAAGCATATACTAAGGAGATGAGGTACTACTCAATCAGTTTGACAGATCCACGTGAGCTTATACAAGGTATCTCAAATAGGTGGTGCCGTTGTGGCGAATTCAATTAACAAAATCTCAAGATTTTTTATACAGATATCAATTCTCGGACAAAAAATTAGGTAAGTTTGTAATTTATCTTATATTCAAATTACTGTTTAAGGTTTAAGATAACAACCCGTATAATTCCATGTTGAATTTAAAGCTGCCCACATTAGGTCACTTGTTGGTAATATTAGGTATTTTTTAAATAACAAAGACAATGATACTACTTCTTTTAAAGATATAATACTCCAGATATACGAATAACACGAATAAATTTAAAAAAAAAACAGACTGCACTACACACTTTAACAGATTTAATAAAACTTCAGAATCACCTTAACTGAAAATACATCATAACAAAAATAAATAAAAAACTTATTTAAAATACAAATAAAATATATACTAACAAAAAACTTGACAACTATGAACTTTTTAAATAGAAATATGAAAAGCAATAAAAACAAACACAAATACCAAAGTTTGCTTAATAAGTCTTTTTTTTTTAATATTTTGATATTTCTTTGTTGTTTTGATTCCAGATGAAACGAGCATTGTAAGAGGAATATTTTTAACTAAACTTTATGGACCGAATTAACGAACCCTTTTTAGTTAACTTTTTTGTATAGACTTATTTATTCAAATTTGTTACCTTGGCTGGTTGGCCTATAAATTTTAATTACTTATTTTCCACATTTTCCACTTAAAATAACAAAGTTGATGCTCTTTATGAACAAAATTATAATATTTTAAATCTTCAGGAGAGTTCAAGAAACTTTTCTACGAAACGTTTTTTCGTATCTCCTATGGGTTTCCAGATCGTATAGTGGATCGTTTTATTTGGCACACGGTGTACAAACACTCTCTTAAAGCTAGTACAGACCCGTATACAAAGCTGAGCGATAAGTCACCACGACACGAACATAGTCGACAAGATTAAATATTAGTATTTGGAAAAATTTTAATGTCCCATAACAATTGTCACACATGAATCGAATGGAAATATACAAGGTGGCGCAGTCGTGTTGCACGATACTATATATCCCTTTTTTATTACTATTTTGAAAATATTTAAATATGAATTAATATGACAATTAAAATCAATGGAAAATATCTCTAGAACCTGTCTCTAATGAAAGTTGTTTGGAAAAAGCTTAGAAATTTAAATATAACATCTAAAACTACAAACACAGGCACAGATATTTAAAACGTATTTCCTGTATTTGTACAAAAATAAGTAACAAAACGTATGTAATTGAAAAAAATTTCGTTTTCTACGTTTAGAACGCAACGCAACTTTGTAGTGCTCAATCATGGGAATCTACTTCAGATTTAATATAGAAATGCTGTTAATGTGTTGCCCTAGAATTCTACCATTTCCCACTAACAACTCGTGCCTGCTGATGACACCCAGGTATTATATTCATTTGTCTCAAAAAACTTATCGTGAACTATTGCGAAAATGTTATTTGCTTGGCTTTATAGCAAAGGAACACAAAATACCGATATAAACTTGCAAAATCTACCAATCTCATTTTTTTCTCTCTGCTGGTTCATGGGGTATCACAGGGGACTGTTTTGGGGCCATTATTGTTTCTTCTGTATATTAATGATCTAGCTCAAGTTGTGAAAAACAGCAAAATTACGTTAGTTGCCGACGATACCATGATATGTGTCGTTGGGAAGAATATCGAAGAATGCAGATATCAATGATGACCTGTATCGAGTGTTTGTATGGGCAACTCTCAGCATTAGTGTCATGAAGTCGAAGTTCTGTTTGTATGGTAAAAAACAAAGATTGAGTGGTTTGGATCTGGAGGTGTTAATTTGCAGTATGAGAAACGTGTAAAATATTTGGGAATTGTATTAAATCCACAATTAAATTTTGATACACATTGTGATTATATAATGAGAAAGTTCTCACAAAAGGTGTGTTTCATATCTAGAGCAGGCAAAAATTTAACAAGTTATACTTGGCGGAGCCACATTTGCAATATTGTTCAACTTTATTATTTAGTATACCTAACTATACACTAACGGAACTTCAGAAAATACAAAACAGAGCAATGCGCGCAATTCTAAAGTGTAATACGTCTAAACCTGTGATGACTATGTTAAATGTGTAAATATTAACTGTAAAGCAAAAAGTAATGTTTGATGCCTTTATATTTATATTTAAAATAAAAAATAAAATGATGCCGCCATACATTGGTAATAGGGTTAATTACGTTAAGAATGTTCATGACTATAACACTAGAAACCGTACTGATTTCATCCTAGTCAATCGATGTATAACTACACATATGTTGAATACCACTTTAAATAAAACTTTGTTAGAGTTTAGTAGGCTGCCAAAAAATATTAAGCAGTGTGATAATTTAAATGCTTTTAAAAGATTAATTAAAACTTACATAATTGTTCTGCTGTTATATACTTTTGTTCTGCGTAGTTTTGTACTTTTATACTTATTTAAATTTTGCTACTGGCTCGTATATTTAAAACGTAAATACGATTGTTTTCTGTTACAGTATAAATAAAGTATTTATTTATTATATATTTATCCTTAAACCTTAAAAAAGAATTTAATTTAATTTTGAAGTCCACCTCTGATTTAGCAGTTCAATGGTTTCGACATTTTAAGTGGACAACCTAAACACTTGTTTGTTTACCCGTTTCGAATGTGTAGCGATTGATTGCGTTGTTTGTCGTCACTAAAAGTCATGTCGGTCAACTTTGTATATCGGACTGTAGATGTCTCGGGACAGAGACGTAGAAAATCAAATATTTCAGTAATCGAGGGACGCCTATGCCCATGCCCGACGAACACCGTCCCACGTACCGGCCGAACGAATCTCACATTTCCGCGGGAAATCTTTTTAAATACGTATTCCAAGAAGAAAAAAAGAAAGAAAAACGTGGTTTACGGACGCTCTCGATATTTCGAACGAAATCGACGACGACTCCTCAGCGCGGATCGATCCGCAACGTTTAACCACGATAACGATTCGCGATACGAAAATACGTCAACGGGCGACGAAATTACGCGCGGGATTCGCGAACACGCGAAAAACAAACGAACGCGGCTACTTAATAAGTACTACCCGCGGCGTGCGAGGTTGCCGCTTGTTCTGCTTTTCGTGCTTTCCCCTAGAATAGAATATTAGTTTACATATGTGTACGTTTACGATGTTTTTATTTTTTATTTTTTTGCTTTATTTATCAACATGATCTCCATCAACCCTGATACATGTCTCATATCGGTGTTCTAATTTGGTTATGTCAGTTTTAAACGTCGGAGTCTGAAGAGTAGGGAGGTTGCGGCATCAATTCAAACTTCAATTCGTGGATTTTGGACAATCGACGAATGCACTGGTACGTTATTCTGACGAAGCAAAATGTTTTTTTTTTCACCAAATGAGGCCGTTTCATTTGTATTGACCAGTGATAGTCTTACCCTTGTCAAGCTATAATATATAATATATTCTTCTTCAGAGTTGGTTCCCCTTTTGCAACTCAACTGTTTTGACTGTTCCTTACTTCCAGGAGTGTAGTGACGGACCAAAGTCTCATCAACGCCAAATTGCCGGTAGAAAAGTTTTTTCGAATCAGCTTTTGGTTGAGCGTTAACAAACCTTGCACACAGCTTTTTCACGCTCAAATGGTCGTGCAAAATATTTCGCAGCTGACATCCTATAGGTCTCAGCTATTTCATGCACTTTCAACGGACGGTATTTCAACACTATTTGATGGAAGTGTCTCGCGCAAGCAAAATAACTTAGCGATTAGGCTGAAACTGTACATACAAGCTCGGTAGAAATGGTGCTGTATGACGCCGCTCCAAAAGTAGACCTAGTAGCGCCACCCCTTGGTCAGGCCAGAAACTTTTCGCACCACCCTCGTAAGCGCCCATTTTAAGGGAGACGAAGTTGCTCCTCACGGTAAGCTCTTTAACGTCTGGTGGCCAAATTTGTGATGAACGTAAGTTCGGCAGAGGGGTGAAAGTACGAATACACTTCTCCCAGCGATGCTCCCATCTCTCTAACCCGTCCAAATAGTACCCCGTGTTTTTCTCAGCAAAATAAATGTTCATGAATGTGATTGTCTCCTCATTTGATGCAAAACTTTGTACTCCGAGCGCAGTTTTCAGATGAGGGAATAAAAAAAAGTCGGTTCAAACCGTAATTCGTGTATTTTCACCATTTCAACCGCTGAGGTATCGCTGAGGTATAAGACGTCGTCTTGGTGAAACAGGATGTTGTTTTTGGAAATGTGGCCGTTTTTACGCAATTTCTGTCCTTAGCTTGTCAAGTAATAATGCGTAGTATGCTCCTGTAAAACACAGTCGCCATCACTTTTCAAGTCGAAAAAACAATTTTTACTTTGCTTTGCTTTTGGAGTCGGTTCCTCCTTCACAGTCAACTGTTTTGACTTTATTTTTGATTCGGGAGTATAATGGTGTCCTCCAAGTTTCATTTACAGTAATTAATCGGCGC